GTGTGTACCGCCGGATCCTGGTATAACCCCTGGTATAGCCCCTGCAGCACTAGGTGCTTGTGAGTCTGCTCCCCTTGGTACTGCGCCTGCACAGGCTTTGCACACCTTTACACTTGACTCTGGTGCTTCCCGCTGTTTCTTTCGCGACAGTACCACAGTCACTCCCCTCCCTGCACCTGTTCCTGTCTCACTGGCTGACCCCTCTGGGGGCCCAGTGCTTGCACGGTCTTCCACTGTGCTTCCGTGTCCGGCGGTCCCGTCTGGTGAGCTGTCTGGTCTCCACCTCCCCTCGTTCTCTACGAACTTGGTGAGTAACGCTGTCCTCCAGGATGCGGGGGTTGACACCTTCACCCCTGGCCGGCAGCGTGTGGCGATTTGCACGTGCTCCCAGACTGGTCGCCACCTGGCCACGTTCGCTCGTGCGCCGGGGTCCAGTCTGTACACCCTCACCACTGCGTCACGCTCCGCCCCTTTGTCTCCCCAGTTGCACGCGTCTGCTCAGGTAGCTACACAGTGTGAGTGTCACCGGCTGTCGCACGACACTCTCCTGTGGCACCACCGCCTTGGTCACCCCTCCCTGCCTCGCCTACACAGCATGCACTCCCGCCTCCTGGTTTCTGGGCTTCCCAGGTCTCTGCCTCCCCTCCCTCCCTCGCCTGCGCCGCCCTGCATTCCCTGCGTCGAGGGGCGGCAGCGCGCCGCTCCTCACTCCTCCTCGTTCCCTCCCACAGAGGCTCCACTGCAGACTCTCCACCTGGACGTGTGGGGCCCAGCCCGCGTCCGTGGACAGGGCCACGAGCGGTACTTCCTGCTGGTTGTCGACGACTATACGCGCTACACCACGGTCTTCTCCTTGCAGCACAAGGGGGATGTCCCTGATGTTTTGATCCCCTGGATCCGCGCTACTCGTCTCCAGCTCCGCGAGCGGTTCCAGTCGGACTTTCCTGTCCTGCGTCTGCACTCTGACAGAGGTGGTGAGTTCTCCTCAGACCTCTTGGCAGCCTTCTGTGCGGAGCACGGCATCCACCAGACTTTCACACTTCCGGCCTCTCCTCAGCAGAATGGGGTTGCTGAGCGCCGCATTGGCTTAGTCATGGAGGTCGCTCGCACCTCCATGATCCATGCGGCTGCCCCCCATTTTCTGTGGCCGTTTGCGGTCCGGTACGCCGCGCATCAGCTCAACCTTTGGCCCCGTGTCTCCTTGCCGGAGACCTCGCCCACACTGCTGTGGACGGGGAAGGTTGGCGACGCGTCGCGTTTCCGGGTCTGGGGTGCTCGTGCCTTTGTCCGCGATACCACCGCGGACAAGCTCTCCCCTCGCGCCATTCCTTGCGTCTTCCTTGGCTTTGTCCCTGACGCGCCTGGCTGGCAGTTTTACGACCCCGCCTCGCGCCGTGTCATTGCGTCTCAGGACATCACCTTTGACGAGTCCGTCCCCTTTTACCGCCTCTTCCCCTACCGCACTGCTCCTCCCCCCCCCCCCGCCGCTCTTTCTCGCCCCAGGTCCTCCCCAGGTAGACCCCCTCCCCGCGCCAGGTCCTGCTCCTTCAGGTGTCTCTCAGGTAGACCCCCCCGCGCCTGCGCCTGTTGAGGTCACTGGTGACTCTGGTCCTGCTGCGAGTGGTGCTGTCCCTGGGGGTACGGAGCTTGGGGGTGCTGAGTCTGGGGGTGCTGAGTCTGGGGGCGCTGAGCGTGAGGAGCCTGGGGGTGCTGCGTTTGGAGGTGCTGCGTCTGGGGGTGCTGCGCCTGCATGTGCGGAGCCTGGGGGTGCTGAGTCTGGGGGTGAGTCGCCTGAGGGTTCTGCGACTGCTTTTCCGCGGTCTCCTTGGAGTAGCCGCCTTCGTCCGCGTGTGCCCCTCACCTCCCAGCAGCTTCACGACTGGTACGGTCGCCGTCAGCGTCGCGCTTCTGCGCCTCAGGGCTCTACTGCTGGGGGTTCTTCTGCTGGTATCGCTGGTCCCGGAGGTGCTCGTACTGAGAGTACTGGAGCTGCTGGGGGTGGTGGTGTTGTGACTGAGGGTACTGGCGCTGCAGAGGGTGCTGGAGCTGCTGAGGGTACTGGAGCTGCTGGAGGTGCTGGCGGTGCTGGAGCTGCTGAGGGTACTGGAGCTGCTAGCGGTGCTGGAGCTGCTGAGGGTACTGGAGCTGCTGGAGGTGCTCGACCTGCTGAGGGTCCTGGCGCTACTGACGGTGCTGGAGCTGCTGGAGCTGCTGGAGGTATTGGAGCTGCTGGTGCTGGTGGCACTGCTCAGCAGCGCCTGTTCTTCGCTCCGCCGTCTCCGTCGTCTCAGCCACCACCTGACTCTGCACTTCGCCAGGTTCTCAGTCTTCCCTCGTCTACTGGTCTTCCGTTACAGCCTGGCTCACCGCTGCCTGCTCCTTCTCCGTACACAGCGCAGACTAGGGGCCTTGCTGAGCGTCGTGAGCCTGCGTCGCGTCCTGTCTCCCCTGTCCGTTCTAGTCGTTCCGGTAGTAGTGTTCCTCGTCAGCAGCAGCCGGCTGTCTCCGGCTCTCACCTTGTAGTTCGTCGTCCTTCCTCTCCTCCGCTGCGTGTTCCTCTGCCGTCTCCCCCTACGTCCTCTCTGCCTGTCGTTGCTGACCCTGCGTCTGACCAGTTTCGTGCTGAGCACTCTACTGTCACGCGTCTGCTTGCCACTGTTGTCACTGACCCGTCGTTTGAGTCTGCTGCTGCGTCTGCCTTAGTCGCTGAGCTTGTTGACTTTGCTGCTGCCTGTCGTCTCGACTACGCCGCCAGACTTGTTGCTGAGTCTGAGTCTGTCTGTCCTCCGTCCGTCGGGGGTGAGTGTGCTCTTGGCACGGACGTCCTTGAGGACAGACAGGAGGACCTTGAGTGTCTTGCAGCCGCTGCGCCTCATCTCGTATCCATGCTGCTTGCCCCTGAGGGAGACCCGGATGCACCAGACATCCCTACCCCGCGCTCTTACGCTGAGGCGATCGCGGGTGAGTACTCCTCTCAGTGGCAGACAGCCATGGACGCAGAGATGGCATCCTGGAAGTCCACATGCACCTATGTCGACGAGGTTCCCCCTCCTGGGGCGAACATTGTCAGTGGCATGTGGATTTTCAGGGTGAAGCGGCCGCCAGGTTCTCCGCCTGTCTTCAAGGCTCGGTACGTGGCTCGAGGCTTCAGTCAGCGAGAGGGAGTTGACTTCTTCCGGACCTTCTCCCCCACCCCGAAGATGACCACTCTTCGGGTGCTGCTGCACGTTGCCGCTCAGCGTGACTACGAGCTTCACTCTCTTGACTTCAGCACAGCCTTCTTACAGGGCAGCCTGCACGAGGAGATTTGGCTGCGCCGCCCTCCTGGCTTCACTGGGTCGTTCCCTCCTGGTACCCAGTGGAGCCTCCGGCGGCCGGTCTACGGTCTCCGCCAGGCGCCACGTGAGTGGCACGACACACTGAGGACGACACTTGCAGCTCTTGGGTTTGCTCCGTCGACTGCTGACCCGTCGCTGTTTTTGCGCACCGACACTTCTCTGCCGCCGTTCTACGTTCTCGTGTACGTCGACGACTTGGTCTTTGCCACTGCTGACACTGAGGCTCTCGCCCTGGTGAAGTCGGAGCTGCAGAAGAGACACACCTGCACTGACCTGGGTGAACTGCGCAGCTACCTTGGCTTGCAGATCACCCGGGACAGAGCACGCCGCACCATCACACTGACTCAGTCACACATGGTGCAGCAGGTCCTTCAGCGCTTCGGTTTCACCTGGTCCTCAGCACAGGCCACTCCTCTGGCTACAGGTCACTCGCTCTCAGCTCCACCTTCGGACGAGTCCGTAGAGCCGAGTGGTCCTTACCCAGAGTTAGTGGGCTGCCTCATGTACCTGATGACTTGCACTCGTCCTGACCTTGCGTACCCTCTTGGCCTTCTGGCTCGCTACGTGGCTCCTGGTCGGCACCGAAAGGTGCACATGGATGCTGCCAAGAGGGTACTACGCTACTTGTGCAGTACATCGGGCATGGGGCTCGTGCTTGGAGGACGGGGTGACGTTGTCCTCACAGGTCACTCGAACGCCTCTTGGGTTGACGACCAGGCTACGCAGCGGTCGTCACAGGGTTACACCTTCAGCCTTGGTTCTGGTTCAGTTTCCTGGCGTTCTACACGTTCGTCTTCAGTTCTCGGCTCTAGCTGTGAGGCAGAGATCTACGCCACAGCCATGGCTGCACAGGAGCTGCGCTGGCTCACCTACCTGCTGGCCGACTTGGGAGAGAGGCCTCGTTCTCCTCCAGTTCTGTACGTCGACAACAAGGCCGCCATTGCCTTGTGTCAGGAGCACAGACTGGAGCACAGAACAAAGCACATCGCTCTCCGTTACTTTCTTGCTCGAGAGCTGCAGCAGCGTAGCCAGCTTCGTCTTACCTACGTGGCCACTCGGGCCAACACTGCTGATATATTCACCAAGGCGCTTCCGCCTGGTGATCATCAGCGTTTCTGCACTTTGTTAGGCCTTGTGCCCACTCTTCCTCGCTTGCTGTAGGCCTTGTTTGTACCATGATTTATATTTATTCCTGCATGCTTGTTCTTGTAGGTAGATATCACTGTACTGTTGTTGTTACATATATATTTCTGCAAGTGAACTGGCCTTGTGGCCTTCTTGCTTGTGCTCAGACTGCGTGGTGACGTTGTGATCCACCCTGAGCTTGCTTTGCACTTCCTGACTGGTCTTGTGACCCTCTGTTTTCCCCCACTTTGCCTATGGGGGTGTGTCAAACATATGCATATATGTGTTATAGTTTGGGGTAGGCTTAGTGGGGTACTTACTGTGGGGTACAACCCCTTGGGTTTTCACTTTGTATCAAACTCTCTCGATAGTCAATCACACTTTTCCCGTAAGTTTCTTAACAGCACTGTCAGCTGTGGCTACAGAGGCGAGAGAGGCTCCAGGCATGTGGTCAAACAACGAAACGCTGTCTCTAGAATCGCTAAGTAGGTACAACTGTAAGTCGTCGAACTTGCAGATCTTGAAGCGCTTGTACGCCTTGGCGATGCATCGGTCGGTCTTTTCCTTGCACTCGTCCGTTGCGCAGCTGTGATCCCTCATGCATTCAGTGCTGCTTTTCTTAAATTCCTCCATGCACGTCGGGCCCGGGGGCTTCAATATGAGGCGGGACGCGCCTGCTTTCCCCCAACGCATAGGCATCATCTGTGAGAACACAGTACGGGAATTCCAAGGAAATAGGTGTAAGGTGATGAAAAAATTAGAAACATGCTTTGCGTAACACATTTCAATAAACAATCACGAAATTAGCAGAGAATATCGTCTTTATCAGGATCGAAACTACTTGGCGTCCTAAACCCTGCATAATTCGGCGCGAGTGCGGACAACAGAACCAACCCGGAGAGGAGCGCGACAGTCTTCCTGGTGGCAGGAATTTGAGGCAAAGGCACTGGCAATGGCTGAGTTTAGGACGATAGATGGAAGGCGGCTGGTCAAATGGCGTGACCTCAGAAGAGTTGCTGCTGTTTTGGGAAGAGAGTAGGGGCATATTTATAGTCGTAAGCCGTAAGCAAAGGCTGGATATCCCCACATTTCGTGGAATCGCGTCACGAATGAAAGGAGATTAAGCCGTTTCATCACATCAGGGAAGGTTCCGAAACTTTTATGCATCATCAGATGATTTCACACGCCTGATCCTATTCTCCTCGTACAAACACACAAAACGTCACAATTTCATGATGCTCCCGACAAACAAAGTTTATTCCCACTCACCCAACTGCCTTATCCCAGCGACCATCACATGCGACTCCGCACAAGCAGGCACTTCCTGCATCATCCATACCCAATTCAGCAATCGTTCTTGCAGCGCTTGTACTTATAGTCGCAGTTTTCGTCGTCATCGTCCTTGCACTGCTTCTTTACGTACTTGCACCAGTCATAACAGCTGTTAGACGACGAAGGCTTCGCGTCGCCGTACTTGCACGCCTTAAATTTCTTGTACGCCTTCGCCTCGCAACTGTCAATCTTCCTCGAGCATGCGGAGCTGTCGTACGACGAGTCGTTATAGTCGCAGCACTTGTGATCCCTCCTGCATTTCGACTGGCTTGTCTTGAATTTTCCCAGGCAAGACGAGTCGTAGTTGTTGTCATGGCTCAAAACCCGCCTGTTCGCCAGAGAAGAGACCCGGTCTGCATGCACAGGCGCGCAATGTTCTCGTCAATTCTGTCAGCAATTCCGAATTGTGGGTCTGTGTTTGCATTGCGCGCAACGAGCTTTTGAGGGACATATTTCCCTGAATGTTCTACTTACCAGGGACGGCGTTAACAGCGAAGAGCAGAACGGAGAGCAGTAAAATCCCGCAGAGGAGGGTGGAAGTCTTCATACTGGCTAGCAGGCGGAAATCCCTCACGCTGAACTGAATGTGATCACGGGTGATCAAATAGTGATTCACTGCTTGTGGTAGAATAAATGATTTGGCGTGGAATATATATTTGCGAATGGTCCTGTTGGGGGCTGAATTTTGTGAGAGGAAATGCAGGAACGCGAGTGTCCGCTCTTCCCTAGCTAGCCGATTTCGACAGTCAGCTTGGGAAGCGGCTCGTTTGGACACTTGGTTCGGTTTCGGCTTGGAAGCCGACATGTTTGCGCTATTGGTTCGAGGAGCATCTTCCTCGGTCTGGCCCCCACTGGGAGATCGCCACGCTGCTCGGCTGGCTGGGAAGGTCTGTGGCGCTGGAGGAACTAGGTCTGGGAAAGTGATCGGTCAGGCTTCATGTGAGCTGGAAGGGGGTCTGAAGGAGTTGTTGGGATTGAAAGAACCAGGGGCAAGATGACAGCTTCAGGTGAATTTGTTGCACTTCCACATGAGAGGGAACCTGACAATCTGTACGATTAGTGTGGTGATGGACACCGCTTGTGTCGAAGTACCCTTGACCCTGCTTGTATAAACAGCAATCTGGCACTTGTTTTTCTCTCTGCCTGAGATTTATGCCTCTGCTTGCACTGTATAACCAGCAATTGGGATTTCTTCCGAAGGTCTGTTGTTGACCCTTATAACATGGTGCCCGCAAATGTTTCTCTGCAAAAACATTGCCAGGGATGCATCCCACTGGATCGCGCTTTGGTGAACAAGCCTGTGAGCCGAACCTGGAGGTCAGCTCAGACACTTGACGGTACTTGACCGGCGTTCTGTGGTTGGGAGAAGTTTGTGAGGCTAGAGAAGTAACGTACCATACAGCCCAGTTCCAGCCCCAGCTTTTCAACCACGTCATACACCTAATGTACCTGGATGGCCAGTTGCTTGCTTCAATGTACACGGAATAGGATGTCACACGGAAACTAATTGTCAAAGTTTCGTAGTACTTTGTAATACAATTTTTAACCCCTGCACCACATTATGCTCCTTTTATTAAGCACGTAATGCTATCTGCATCTGTTCTACTTTAAAAACATGTATATATTCGTCCTTTTACAGCACAATGTTCTACACCTTTTAAAATTGATCACATTGCTATTTTGCAGCATGGAGAGTTCTCCATAGTAGGGTGAGATGTGTTAGTGTTCTCATCTCAACCCGGAGTTTCTTATTGTACCAACAAATTAATATGCATAGACGTGTTCTGAGAGGCTACCTAGACTCCAGCTTTTTGTGGAAATCTTTGAGACTATTTGTAGAAAAATGGCTTGTTGCAACAATAATTTATTTCCTCTTCGATTACAACACATCACTGTCAGAATCTAAAGTCCCACCCCACCTACTAACAACACATAAAAAACTATCAATCCAGAAAATAATTGCCCATCTTCAGCCCCCCGTTGAGAATTTCAACCTTGGTGTAGCCTTGAAACGCGCGCCGACTTTCACTAATCGCAGTTGCTCGTAATGCAGGTGTTGTACTTCATCCCGCAGCTGCCCTTGTTCTCCTCCTTGCAGTGATCATAAAGCATCTTGCACAGCTTCTCGCAGGGAGGCGGCGGCGGCTTCGGCATCGGCATCTTGGGGGGGAACTTGCAGATCTTGAAGCGCTTGTACGCCTTAGCGATGCATCGGTCGGTCTTTTCCTTGCACTCGTCCGTCGCGCACATGTGATCCCTCACGCACTCCTTGCGGCCTTTCTGGAAGTTCTCCGTGCAATCAGCTGCGAGTACGAAAATCAAATGTAAAATTAAGCCAGGCGATAAAAGGTGTAGAAACCGATTCACCTTTATGCTTTCAGCTAAATTCACGTAAATCCGTAAGTTCGCGGCGAATACAATTGTCCTTACCATCAGCATTTGCAGCAACGAACAGAGCCGAGAGCAGAACAAGCGCGCTGAGAAGAACGTAAGTCCTCATGCTGGCTGTCGGGGTAGTAAGCCTCACAGAAAGTGGATTTGAGGATGAAGGACCTAAACTCTTGCAGGAGATTTTGAACTGCTGGTTTGCTAAAATGATGGCGTGCAGTTTATAGCATTGCGGATGCTGCTGTTGGGGGCTGGAATTCCAACGTGGGGGTGTTTCGTTGCTTGGTTGAATGTGGGGAAAAATTCGAAGTCCAGCTTAGGCGAGCGGTTCGTTTGGGCATTATGGTTCGGGAATTTGTGGAAGAGTTGGCTTGGTAAGCCGACCTGCTTGTGCCATTGGCGGAAGAGGGGCTTGCTTGGTCTCAGCCGCTCTTGTTACGTGACCAGCCAGGCTCGGTCACTGGTTCTCGAAGATCCATGCAAGGGGGTGACCTGGACGTTTCACGAGCTTGAAGTGCGGGCAGCCAGGCCTGAACCTCTTGCTTGGTTCGGGTCCAGGGCGTTGTGTGAACAATCTCAAGTGAAATTGTTGATACCCGAAAAATGAATAGCCGAGGATTTGGGGACTTCTCCGGCCATTCCCCTCTATAAACTTCTCAGGATTTGAATCACCCCCCAGCAGCCCAGCAGCTCTGTGCTTTGACCCTCCAGTCACCCTGAAATTGAGTCCAATTTCCAGTAATATGCTTTCCGCAAACCAATCAGCTTCGATTTGCTTTGCCCATGGAACCTGGTTGCGTTCGTCCAAACCAAAACACCTCCAAACCCGAAAGCATGAATCTGGCAGCTTTGGCTAGTTTGGGGAGAAAAAGGCGGCGGCGCTACGGCGTGGGTAGTTGCCTCGGAAGCGGCTGGATAAGGATGCTTGATTGGTCGAAGCTAGCAGCCGGGGCTTGTTTCGTGACCAAAGCATGACCATTGGTCGGAAGGCAGGGAAGTCCATCCCCAGCCGCAGTTTTGATAGTGCAACACGCAATTCTGTATAACCTGACGTTAAATCCATATGGAAGCTGGACTGTTGAGACAAAAGTGATGCAACAGATTCCATGTACCGTACTATTGCTAAATGATGTGCCTACAACCCTTGGGACACTGTTCTTCACTAGCTGCTGCACCATATTGTGGCTCCTCGAGTCAGCACTTCCTGCCTTTTGAACTCCGACTCGGATGGTATACACACATACCAACACCTTTCCTCCCCAGCCTTAGAACTAATACAGAATTGACCAGCCAAAGTATCCAAGACATTTACTAGTGCTGCTGCTTCCTTTCGTGGGACATCATACAGACCTGGCATGGCAGATAAGGCAGGAGGGGTGCCCACGTAGTAACAGCTTAGCCTTCAGTTTGGGAAAGCTCCCTTCCCCAGTCATGGTTCATATAATTCGCCCAATGTGCCTCCAATCAAAGCTCTTCGGTCAGAGCAGCAGTTTCCCTAACTGGCCTGCTGATGCTGCTCCTGTTCTTGCTGCTGGTGCCTCTGCAGCTGCTGCTGCAGCTGCTGCTGCTGTTGGTGCTGTTGTTTCTGCAAGTGCCTGATGTTGCTATTGTTGTTCCCACTGCTGGCGTTACCTTTGCTGCTGTTGTTGCCAGCGCTTCTTCTGTTGGTGTTGCTTCTCTCATTGCTGGTGCTACTGCTGTTGCTATTGCTTCTGTTGTTGCTGGCACTACTGCTGCTGCCACTGCTTCTGCTGCTGTTTTGCTGCTGCTGCTGCTGCTGTTTGGATGCTACAGCTGCTGTTGTCGTTGCTGCTGCTCTCTGTTGCCACTGCTGCTGCTGGTGCCGTTGTTGCTGCTCGTACAGGTGCAGGTGCTGTTGCTGTTGCTTCTGCTGCTGTTGCTGCTGTCACACCAGCAGGCACCAATAGCAGCATGCACCCACCAAACATCGTCAGCACACCACCAAGAGCTCTGACTGTTTTTTGAGAATTCTCAAAGAACAACAGCAGTATGCACCCACTAAGCATCATCAACACACCACCAAGAGCTCCGACTCAGCAGCGCGGATAACAGCGCTGCTCACACCAGCAGGCACCAGTAGCTTTGGAGTCGACTCAATGGTCGACAGGTCATCTCTGCTCCCCAAGCCTTCACTCACCTTCCCACCAGTGTTGTCCAAAGCCCAGGCTCGGCAAGCACTCGACATCCGGACCAAACAGGTCCGGCGTCAGCAGCAGCACAGCCAGCAATCAACAGCTCTTTCCTTCTCAACACATGTCCGTCTCGATACCCCAACCAGACACGATCCTCACTTTCTCCCCGCTCCACTGCCCCGCCTCCCAAACACCTCCCCCCACCGAACCACCGGCTGGTTCGGGAACAGCTTCTCAATCCTCGGGTCGGGCCGAGCCAGCCAGGAGCAGTAAACCCCAGCCGCAGCGAAAACAGCAGCCATGGACATGGCAGCGAGAGCCGCAAAGTGCTTCGGATCGTGAACGACTATGGCGAGTCCTAACATTAGTAGCTCTGCCAGGCTGGCGAGGGCGATTTCGGTTGTGCCGATGAGATTGGCGGAAGCAGGGGGGATGGCGGTTTGGATGATCTGAGAGTCGACAATCTCAAACGTCCAATGGCCCACTCGAGACAGCACCTGGGGGGAAGGAAGGGTGAGCAAAGAACGGGTGTGAATGGAGGCTGGCAAGCAAGGGCGATTTCAGTGGTGCCGATGAGATTGGCAGAGGCGGGAGGGATGGCGGTTTGGATGATCTGAGAGTCGACGATTTCAAACGTCCAGTGGCCCACTCGAGACAGCACCTGCAGACACAGGGTAGGGAAGAGGTAGAGCGTGAGTGGGTGAAGGTGAGAAAATTAGACTGTTTGGATGATTGGAGAGTCGACGATTACAAACGTCCAGTGGCCCACTCGAGACAGCACCTGGAGGCTAAGGGCTTCGGCGAACGGAGTAGGTGGGAGCTGTGACGAGAGGTACTGAGGGGTACTGATCGAGAGGTGACGATAACTGATATTATCGATCCTCTTCAGTGGCCCATGTGGGAGGCCACATGGGAGAGGAAAGGCTTATAACACTTGATTTGATATGAACAGAGAAGGCTCACGAGGAGGAGGAGGAAGAGGAGCAGCAGCCCCTGCAGGTGCACTGGCGGCCAGCAGGAGAAAGAGAAAGTGTATGTGTGAGAGAGATTAGCCACGTGATAGAAGTGATTTTTTTAGACGTCTAAAAAAATCACTTCTATCACTGGCGGCCAGCGCGACAAAGAGAAAGTGTATGTGTGAGAGAGAAAGGATTGCTAGCAAGGAAAGGAGAGACGACTCACTACAAGGAGAAGGAAGAGCAGCAGCAGCCCCTGCTGCAGCACCGGAGGGAAGCGCGAGAGAGAGGAGAAGATGGCAACTGCGAGGGCGAGGAGGAGAGCTTGAAAGACAAGAGCAGCACTGCCAGCCTGATATGGAGAGGGCGAAAGTGATGGCATGGAGGGGTTGTGGGAGAGAGCATGCATGAGAGAGAGAGGAGAAGATGGCGATTGCAAGGGCGAGGAGGAGAGCTTGGAAGACAAGAGAAGCACCGCCAGCCTGGGGTGGATTGAGGGCAGGCAGGGTGAAAAAAAAAAGAGAGAGAAAAAGGAAAGCAGAGTGAGAGAGAGGAGAAGATGGCGACTGCAAGGGCGAGGAGGAGGGCTTGGAAGACGAGAGCAGCACTGCCAGCCTGGTTGGATGGAAAGAGGTTTGTTTGAGAGGAGAAGATACAGTCTGCAAGTAAATTTGACGAGATGACATATGATTCGACTGAAAAGTCAACATGGAATGGGATGGCATAGGAGGGGACAGGATTCAGGAAAGAGGTTTGTTTGAGAGGAGAAGATACAGTCTGCAAGTAAATTTGACGAGATGACATATGATTCGACTGAAAAGTCAACATGAAATGGGATGGCATAGGAGGGGACAGGATTCAGGAAAGAGGTTTGTTTGAGAGGAGAAGATACAGTCTGCAAGTAAATTTGACGAGATGACATATGATTCGACTGAAAAGTCAACATGAAATGGGATGGCATAGGAGGGGACAGGATTCAGGAAAGAGGTTTGTTTGAGAGGAGAAGATACAGTCTGCAAGTAAATTTGACGAGATGACATATGATTCGACTGAAAAGTCAACATGAAATGGGATGGCATAGGAGGGGACAGGATTCAGGAAAGAGGTTTGTTTGAGAGGAGAAGATACAGTCTGCAAGTAAATTTGACGAGATGACATATGATTCGACTGAAAAGTCAACATGAAATGGGATGGCATAGGAGGGGACAGGATTCAGGAAAGAGGTTTGTTTGAGAGGAGAAGATACAGTCTGCAAGTAAATTTGACGAGATGACATATGATTCGACTGAAAAGTCAACATGAAATGGGATGGCATAGGAGGGGACAGGATTCAGGAAAGAGGTTTGTTTGAGAGGAGAAGATACAGTCTGCAAGTAAATTTGACGAGATGACATATGATTCGACTGAAAAGTCAACATGAAATGGGATGGCATAGGAGGGGACAGGATTCAGGAAAGAGGTTTGTTTGAGAGGAGAAGATACAGTCTGCAAGTAAATTTGACGAGATGACATATGATTCGACTGAAAAGTCAACATGAAATGGGATGGCATAGGAGGGGACAGGATTCAGGAAAGAGGTTTGTTTGAGAGGAGAAGATACAGTCTGCAAGTAAATTTGACGAGATGACATATGATTCGACTGAAAAGTCAACATGAAATGGGATGGCATAGGAGGGGACAGGATTCAGGAAAGAGGTTTGTTTGAGAGGAGAAGATACAGTCTGCAAGTAAATTTGACGAGATGACATATGATTCGACTGAAAAGTCAACATGAAATGGGATGGCATAGGAGGGGACAGGATTCAGGAAAGAGGTTTGTTTGAGAGGAGAAGATACAGTCTGCAAGTAAATTTGACGAGATGACATATGATTCGACTGAAAAGTCAACATGAAATGGGATGGCATAGGAGGGGACAGGATTCAGGAAAGAGGTTTGTTTGAGAGGAGAAGATACAGTCTGCAAGTAAATTTGACGAGATGACATATGATTCGACTGAAAAGTCAACATGAAATGGGATGGCATAGGAGGGGACAGGATTCAGGAAAGAGGTTTGTTTGAGAGGAGAAGATACAGTCTGCAAGTAAATTTGACGAGATGACATATGATTCGACTGAAAAGTCAACATGAAATGGGATGGCATAGGAGGGGACAGGATTCAGGAAAGAGGTTTGTTTGAGAGGAGAAGATACAGTCTGCAAGTAAATTTGACGAGATGACATATGATTCGACTGAAAAGTCAACATGAAATGGGATGGCATAGGAGGGGACAGGATTCAGGAAAGAGGTTTGTTTGAGAGGAGAAGATACAGTCTGCAAGTAAATTTGACGAGATGACATATGATTCGACTGAAAAGTCAACATGAAATGGGATGGCATAGGAGGGGACAGGATTCAGGAAAGAGGTTTGTTTGAGAGGAGAAGATACAGTCTGCAAGTAAATTTGACGAGATGACATATGATTCGACTGAAAAGTCAACATGAAATGGGATGGCATAGGAGGGGACAGGATTCAGGAAAGAGGTTTGTTTGAGAGGAGAAGATACAGTCTGCAAGTAAATTTGACGAGATGACATATGATTCGACTGAAAAGTCAACATGAAATGGGATGGCATAGGAGGGGACAGGATTCAGGAAAGAGGTTTGTTTGAGAGGAGAAGATACAGTCTGCAAGTAAATTTGACGAGATGACATATGATTCGACTGAAAAGTCAACATGAAATGGGATGGCATAGGAGGGGACAGGATTCAGGAAAGAGGTTTGTTTGAGAGGAGAAGATACAGTCTGCAAGTAAATTTGACGAGATGACATATGATTCGACTGAAAAGTCAACATGAAATGGGATGGCATAGGAGGGGACAGGATTCAGGAAAGAGGTTTGTTTGAGAGGAGAAGATACAGTCTGCAAGTAAATTTGACGAGATGACATATGATTCGACTGAAAAGTCAACATGAAATGGGATGGCATAGGAGGGGACAGGATTCAGGAAAGAGGTTTGTTTGAGAGGAGAAGATACAGTCTGCAAGTAAATTTGACGAGATGACATATGATTCGACTGAAAAGTCAACATGAAATGGGATGGCATAGGAGGGGACAGGATTCAGGAAAGAGGTTTGTTTGAGAGGAGAAGATACAGTCTGCAAGTAAATTTGACGAGATGACATATGATTCGACTGAAAAGTCAACATGAAATGGGATGGCATAGGAGGGGACAGGATTCAGGAAAGAGGTTTGTTTGAGAGGAGAAGATACAGTCTGCAAGTAAATTTGACGAGATGACATATGATTCGACTGAAAAGTCAACATGAAATGGGATGGCATAGGAGGGGACAGGATTCAGGAAAGAGGTTTGTTTGAGAGGAGAAGATACAGTCTGCAAGTAAATTTGACGAGATGACATATGATTCGACTGAAAAGTCAACATGAAATGGGATGGCATAGGAGGGGACAGGATTCAGGAAAGAGGTTTGTTTGAGAGGAGAAGATACAGTCTGCAAGTAAATTTGACGAGATGACATATGATTCGACTGAAAAGTCAACATGAAATGGGATGGCATAGGAGGGGACAGGATTCAGGAAAGAGGTTTGTTTGAGAGGAGAAGATACAGTCTGCAAGTAAATTTGACGAGATGACATATGATTCGACTGAAAAGTCAACATGAAATGGGATGGCATAGGAGGGGACAGGATTCAGGAAAGAGGTTTGTTTGAGAGGAGAAGATACAGTCTGCAAGTAAATTTGACGAGATGACATATGATTCGACTGAAAAGTCAACATGAAATGGGATGGCATAGGAGGGGACAGGATTCAGGAAAGAGGTTTGTTTGAGAGGAGAAGATACAGTCTGCAAGTAAATTTGACGAGATGACATATGATTCGACTGAAAAGTCAACATGAAATGGGATGGCATAGGAGGGGACAGGATTCAGGAAAGAGGTTTGTTTGAGAGGAGAAGATACAGTCTGCAAGTAAATTTGACGAGATGACATATGATTCGACTGAAAAGTCAACATGAAATGGGATGGCATAGGAGGGGACAGGATTCAGGAAAGAGGTTTGTTTGAGAGGAGAAGATACAGTCTGCAAGTAAATTTGACGAGATGACATATGATTCGACTGAAAAGTCAACATGAAATGGGATGGCATAGGAGGGGACAGGATTCAGGAAAGAGGTTTGTTTGAGAGGAGAAGATACAGTCTGCAAGTAAATTTGACGAGATGACATATGATTCGACTGAAAAGTCAACATGAAATGGGATGGCATAGGAGGGGACAGGATTCAGGAAAGAGGTTTGTTTGAGAGGAGAAGATACAGTCTGCAAGTAAATTTGACGAGATGACATATGATTCGACTGAAAAGTCAACATGAAATGGGATGGCATAGGAGGGGACAGGATTCAGGAAAGAGGTTTGTTTGAGAGGAGAAGATACAGTCTGCAAGTAAATTTGACGAGATGACATATGATTCGACTGAAAAGTCAACATGAAATGGGATGGCATAGGAGGGGACAGGATTCAGGAAAGAGGTTTGTTTGAGAGGAGAAGATACAGTCTGCAAGTAAATTTGACGAGATGACATATGATTCGACTGAAAAGTCAACATGAAATGGGATGGCATAGGAGGGGACAGGATTCAGGAAAGAGGTTTGTTTGAGAGGAGAAGATACAGTCTGCAAGTAAATTTGACGAGATGACATATGATTCGACTGAAAAGTCAACATGAAATGGGATGGCATAGGAGGGGACAGGATTCAGGAAAGAGGTTTGTTTGAGAGGAGAAGATACAGTCTGCAAGTAAATTTGACGAGATGACATATGATTCGACTGAAAAGTCAACATGAAATGGGATGGCATAGGAGGGGACAGGATTCAGGAAAGAGGTTTGTTTGAGAGGAGAAGATACAGTCTGCAAGTAAATTTGACGAGATGACATATGATTCGACTGAAAAGTCAACATGAAATGGGATGGCATAGGAGGGGACAGGATTCAGGAAAGAGGTTTGTTTGAGAGGAGAAGATACAGTCTGCAAGTAAATTTGACGAGATGACATATGATTCGACTGAAAAGTCAACATGAAATGGGATGGCATAGGAGGGGACAGGATTCAGGAAAGAGGTTTGTTTGAGAGGAGAAGATACAGTCTGCAAGTAAATTTGACGAGATGACATATGATTCGACTGAAAAGTCAACATGAAATGGGATGGCATAGGAGGGGACAGGATTCAGGAAAGAGGTTTGTTTGAGAGGAGAAGATACAGTCTGCAAGTAAATTTGACGAGATGACATATGATTCGACTGAAAAGTCAACATGAAATGGGATGGCATAGGAGGGGACAGGATTCAGGAAAGAGGTTTGTTTGAGAGGAGAAGATACAGTCTGCAAGTAAATTTGACGAGATGACATATGATTCGACTGAAAAGTCAACATGAAATGGGATGGCATAGGAGGGGACAGGATTCAGGAAAGAGGTTTGTTTGAGAGGAGAAGATACAGTCTGCAAGTAAATTTGACGAGATGACATATGATTCGACTGAAAAGTCAACATGAAATGGGATGGCATAGGAGGGGACAGGATTCAGGAAAGAGGTTTGTTTGAGAGGAGAAGATACAGTCTGCAAGTAAATTTGACGAGATGACATATGATTCGACTGAAAAGTCAACATGAAATGGGATGGCATAGGAGGGGACAGGATTCAGGAAAGAGGTTTGTTTGAGAGGAGAAGATACAGTCTGCAAGTAAATTTGACGAGATGACATATGATTCGACTGAAAAGTCAACATGAAATGGGATGGCATAGGAGGGGACAGGATTCAGGAAAGAGGTTTGTTTGAGAGGAGAA